CCGGGATAGCTCTTGTCTCCAGAGTCCTGAGCCCCACGACCTCCCAGGATCACCAGTCACCCAACCTGTGCTGCCTCAGGTCCTCCCCTACAGCTACGAGAGCCCCGGTGCCTGAAGACAAAAGGTCCTAGGACCTAAAACAGTCTTCAGCTCTCTCTTCCGTGAGACCTAGTGCAACACTAGGAGGCCAAGGGGTCAGAAAGCCCTGGGCTTGTGCCCCAGGAGGAGCAGCATGTTTGGCCAGGTGCAAGCTTCATTTCCTGTTCTAGAGAATGAATACTCTTGGCAGTTTCCCTCATGGGCCTCAGAGAGAGTGACCGAGGCCTCTGCTCTCTGGAGGGACGTGCCAGTGTGAACCTCCCCATTACCAGGTCAATCTAGGGGCGGAGAGCCAGGGTCAAGGCAATAAGTGCCCCTTCATGGTGCCCCCAAGAAAAGCACACAAGTCCAACCCCTGTACCCACACATGGTACCCACACGCAGTTCACACATGTGTGCAAAGCATGACCACAGTCCCTGCTGTGCACGTATGGCAGGTCCTGAGGACCAGCTTCCCTGGGGTCAGATCTTCTCTGCCCCTTTAACCTTCACCTGTACAATGCCAAAGAGCCCCCACAGTGGTATGGGAAAGATGTAGCAGCCTCCAGGCCGGTGGGGCAGGGAACTCTGCAGCAAGCAAGGCCCTGGGTCCTGGTCATTCCAGTGTGGGTGTCCTGGACAATAGACTGCCCCATGGCCTGGCCAGGCTGGGGGCAGACACAGGCCGGGTAGGCAGAATGGGGAAAGAAGACAGGCTGGGGCAGGTGGAGAGGTGTGTGCAGTGCTGAGTTGTAACTCTATAGGCACAAGAAGGGTGCGCTTCCAGGGAGTCCTGGGGCAGCTTCTGCTCTTCCTGCTCACAGGGTGGGCCCTCTCAGAGTAAGGGGACAGGGTGGTGTTTGGTTCCTGGAGGAGGGGCAAGCATCCCAACCTCTCTCAGGGCTGTGAAAAAAAGTAATGGCCAGAAACCGTGATTAAATAGTCAAGAGACCAGAAGGGGGAGCTCTGGTAGCCTGCAACGCTTCTTTCCTGGCAGGGACTCAGCCAATGGAAGATCACAGACACTGTTTACTATAGCCCTCCCGAGGTCCTTTCCCCCTCTGGAAAAGTGTTCTCCTACACTCGCCATGCAGGGACTTGCACGACATGGTTTCAGACCGCAAAATTCAGTTTGCTGCTGATTCCAAGTAAGCACATTTTTTTCTGGAGAAATAACTGGCGGCCAACATTTTGGTAGCCCATAAGAGGGTGGAGAAGCCTCCAGAACTGGGAGGCAAACAGGTGTAGGGTCCCACTGTCACTCATGGATTTTCTTGCTGACCTTGGGGCTTGAAGATACACCTTTCTCCTGGATTCAAATTCACGCTCTCTTTGTATTTTGAAGCTCTCCAGGTTTTATTTGAGATCAATTTAAAGTTTTATCCTTTCCGGTTAAGGCCTGTTCTGTACATGAGTACTCATTTTTGGCATCATGTGCTCGCCTTCAACAAATTCCCTTTGGAACAGGGGTTGTTTCCCCTGGAACCGGCTAGTCTTCACATTCCTTTGGGAATGGGATGGGGGTGGGGAGGAGAGTGGAAGGCTAATTCATTAGAGCTGTGCCAGTTCAGCCTTTGGCCTATTCATTTGTGGTAGGGGTTGGCCAGTGGGAACTGGGCTAAACCTTCAGCTTGGCTCCTTCAGGACAAAGCTGTTTCCTTAGAACTGGCTGGTATTAGGCCTGCAGGCTATTTGAGTTGCAAGCTGCCTGAGCTATCTGAACTATTTAAACTGTTTGAACTGTAAGCTGTTTGAGCCGTAGGCTGTTTGGTCATTTGAAAATTATTCTTCCACTCTAGAGAAGAAATCCTAATAAATGGGATGCTAGTTACCTATATATTTTGAGCTTGTCCCACTAACACAGGGACTTGGGGTAATTTTATGTTTAAAAACCACAGTCCTTCCTTATGCACAATTCTAACTAAATGGATCAACCTAACCAAGACAATTTAGAACATTAATAACCACTATGGGAAAATTTGAAATCCCCAAAATTAATTTTCTTAAAACCAAATTAGACTATCATAGCTCTACAACTTTCCAAACTGAATGGAATGCCTATTTCGATTGGTACTTTGAGGCCATCCTCTCAATTCTCCTATTGTAATTCTTTCACCAAATTTCCTTTTTCTCTGAAATTCCCTCCACTCCCCTTTCCTTTGAAGTTGTTAGAATCTGTTCCTTTAAAATCAAGCCTTCTGAGGACCCACAGGCTAAATTCTTAATTTCTTATATTCCCTAGACTAAAGCCTAACTGTGAATCATAGTTTAGGAATTTCCCAAAGTAACCAAAAATCCTCAGATATTTTCTGAGGAATTTAATATAGTCATTCAAACTTACCAGCCTGGTTTCTCTGACTTACGTTGGCTAATTCATGTGCTTGTCATTGAGGGTCAGACCCAGCAATGGATGAGAACTGCTAACTGGGAAATCCTTGAAAGGGCTCGAGTATTACAACCAGGAGATCGGCCTGCTAGCAATCACTCGGAAGCTTCATCAAATAATTCCTAGGGCTTTTTCAAAGCCTTTTGATTGGAAGAAAAGTCAAGCTTGAACACAAATATCTGAAGAGCATCTTCATGACTATTATAATTTACTTCAGATTATTTTTAAAGAAAATTCTGGTCTTCCTTCAGATGTTGAGTCCACCAGGGTAGCTTTTAATTCTATGTTTATTCATGCACTGAATCAACTCTTTCTTCTCTAGTAAAATGAACCAGGACAGAATGGGAAACTAGGCCTATCCACATTTAGTTAATCTGGAAAACAAACTTCATCACACTCTAAATGAGTCACCTAAAAGGAAGACAGCTTCCCAGGTGGTACTAGTGGTAAAGAATCTGCCTGCCAATGCAGGAGCCTTAGGAGGACACAGGTTTGATCCCTGGGCTGGGAAGATCCCCTGGAGGAGGAAATGACAACCAACTCCAGTATTCTTGCTGGGATAAGCCCATGGACAATTGTCCACTGGGTCACAAAGCGTCAGACACGACTAAAGTGACAGCACACACGCATGATATTGGAAAAGAGCTTGTTAAAAATTTAGGTGCTTCAGGTTCCTGAAGCCCTTTAACGAATCTTTCCAATGTCCCTCCAGTTTTCAACGACAAGATTGAAGGAACTACAAAGGCACTTCCTGATGTATCCTCTTAGTCAACTTGCAGAAATACTTATTCAGATTAGGAATGAGTCTCTTCCAGTCCTACTTGACGAGAGAACCACACTCTCAGTGCCCAACCTACTACAATAAAGCAGTCCTTACCCTGGAGTCCCAAAGCAGCTTAAATGGAGGGGCTCTCTCATGAACCACTACAGGTTCCTGTTAATGAACCTAGTCCCTTTTGCTTAAGCACTATGAAAGATCCACACCCTTTTCTCTTTAGTTTCTCTGCCCCTATCTACTTATTAGGCCAAGACTTTTTTTTTTACTTTTTATTTTGCATTGGAGTATAGACGATTAACAATGTTGTGATAGTTCCAGGTGGACAGCAATAGGCTGAGACTTCTTAAAGAAGTATCATGCTGGAATTTTCTCAAAAAAAGAGGAAATAATTCCAGAATTTGGCAGCAGTCATCAAAGTGGTCAATCAGGTAAATTAAATGACCTTTTGACACCTTTTATTTGCTCTGTCTCTGATGGCAGAGCTGATTCTGGAAACATTGATAATTTGTCCATATTGGATTAGGTACCATCTTCCTTTGGCCAAAATGTCCAACAGATTTTGGAAAAATTCACACGTATCTCCCATCAAGATTCAAATATATCCTTCAAAACCTCTTCCCAGAATGTATATATATAGCACTATAAGAAGCCCTTAAAGGCATAAAGCCCATTATAGAAGCTTACAAGTTCAAGGCCTTGTTATCTCCTAGACTAGCCCCTGTAGCACCCCTGTTTTACCAGTGATAAACCTAAGGGCCGAGGGTGGAGGTGTGTCCAAACCTCTGAGCAATAAACAACATTGTCGTTGTTATCCCTTGACACCCTGTTGCTCCTAACCCTCGCCTAACGTCCATTCCCCCTGGAAGCCAATTCTTTACTGTAATTGATTTGTGCTGTGCTTCAGTTCTTCCTTACTTCAGTTGGTAGAGCTAACTGATACCTTTTGCCTTCACTTGGGAAGAAAATTAATTCACCTGGAACAGTAATGCCTCGGGGTTTTACTGGGTGGGAGTCTCCCAAATCCTAAAGGAAGTATGACTTAGGTTTCCAAGAGGTTCTATTCAATTGCAATATGTGCGTGATTTGCATCTTTGCTCTTTCTCAAGCCTCCTCACAGGAAGACAGTCTCCACTTGCTAAAATTTTTAGCTTAAAGGGATATAAGATCACCAAAGAAAAATTGCAATGTGACCAAACCCAGGTTTGATATTTAGGGCATCTGATATCAGAAGAAGGGCTACACCTTGATCCAGAGAGGCTTCATGGTGTCCTAAGTTTCCCAAAACCTAACTGCAAGGTTTTCTTGGGCTTTGTCAGTTATTAGTGAAATTGGATTCCAAATTTCTGTTTTATGGCCAAACCTCTGTATTTTTTTTTTTACTAAAGAATAATAACCCCTACCCAATTTTATGGGAACAACTGAATAATATAACCTTTAAGGCCTTAAAGGAGAGTTTGATGAACCAACCTACTCTTGGGCATAGTAATTATCAAATTCCATTTTTCTTTTTTGTATGTGAAAAGAAAGGGAATGCCTTGAGGTACTCACCTAAAAGCAAAGGAACCATCATCAACCCAAAGAGCATTTTTTTTCTTTTAAACAAGGACCCAGTTTTTTAATTTCATCATTTCTTACATTTCTTACTCTTCGATGATATCCTTGGCCCAAGACTCTTTGCCATAGTCCTTAACCACCATGCAACTGCAACCAACCACTTTACGGGGGTTTTCTCTCTCTGTCAGTTTTATAGAAACCTACCCATTCCCTTAATTTCTTGTTGTCATCAACCTTAATCAGATTGATTTGGTGCTCAACACAAAGGGCCTCCACCAACCTGACATCACAGTTGGATGCAAACACACACAGATGGGCTTGGTACTTATCTAAGGCTTTGGCAGCTTCACGAATTTCATGTGCTAGGCCATAGTGGATGAGGGCGGTCTTCAGCACCTCTTGCAGTGCAGTATGAACGTCCATGACACCTCCAGCAGCAATATCTTCCTTGGCCATGGCAGTGGATTACGGGCAGAGCCGAATCTTGAATGCACCGAAGCCTCTGGCTCCAGGGAAAGAGCAACCCATAGCGTATCATAGCCAGAAGCTGGACCTTGCCACATGGGGATAACCCACTTTGCCTTATGGCCATTACTGCCATTGCTTTTTTGATTGAGGCCACCGAGAAAATCACTGTGGGATCTTCTTTAACCAATTTTGTACCTCAATCAGTAGAAGCCCTCCTGAATTTTCATCACACTTACCATTTCTCAGCCAGCTGCCTCACATCCTGTGAAGTCCTTTTGCTAACTGCTCCTCTTGTACTGCTGTTATGCTGAGATGACTTTAACCCTCTTCCTCTTCTTCAGTTGCTGAATGCTGATGGGTCACCTCCTGACCCCTGTGACGAAGCTCCTCGGGGTAATGCTGAGTCTCATGGTTCAGAGTCCTTATTTAAAAGGTAACAATGGTCACCACAGAGCACTGAGGAGAGCTCCCTGTGCTCTGCAGTAGGTTCTCATTAGTGATCTATTTTATAGCACGTGGTAGTGAGTTTATGACAGACATTCTTAACCTCCCCATTCATCCCATTCATCCCATTCATCCCCATTCATCCCACCCTTCCTTCCCCTCTTGGTATCCATGTTTGTTCTCTGCATCTGTGTCTCTATTTCTGCTTTGCAAATAAAGTCACCTGTATCATTTTCCTAGATTCCATATATAAGTGCTATTATACAATATTTTTTTTCCCTTTCTGACTTACTTCACTGTGTATGACAGTCTCTAGGTCCATCCACAACAAATGGCATGATTTTGTTCTTTTTATGGCTAAGTAACATTCCACTGTATACCTGTTCCACACCTTCATCCATTTCTCTTTGGATGGACGTTTAGGTTGCTTCCATGTCTTGGCAATTGTAAATAGTGCTGCAGTGAATATTCAGGTGCATGTGTCTTTTTGAATTATGGTTTTCTTTGGGTATATGCTCAGGAATGGGATTGAAGGAAGTCCAGAAAAGAGGGGATATATGTATGTGTGCAGCTGATTCATTCTGCCATCAGCAGAAACTAACACAGCACTATAAAGCAACTATGCATGCATGTTAAGCTACTTCAGTCATGTCCAACTCTTTGTGACCCAGTAAACTGTAGCCCGCCAGGCTCCTCTATCCATGGGATTCTACTGCAGTGGGTTGCCATTTCCTCCTCCAGAGGATCTTCCCAACCCAGGGATCGAATTCAGGTCTCTTATGTCTCCTGCATTTGCAGGGGGGTTCTTTACCACTAGTGCCACCTGGGAAGTCCCTATATGCCAATAAAAATTAATAAAAAGTAAATTTTAAAATGAGGTTTAATATCATCTTAGAAATAATATCATTATATTATAATGCCTGATAGTCATCAGTTTATACGTTTTTCTTTTACCTTTCTGGGGATAATCACATAATTCAGGATTAAAATGTAGCAGCCTTGGGACTTCCCTGGTGAACCAGGGGTTAAGAATCTTCCTGCCAATACAGTGAACATGGGTTTGATCCCTGATCCAAGGAAGATTGCACACATTTTATGAGGCAGCTAAGCCTGTGTACCACACTGAAGCCCACACTCTAGAGCCTGTGGGCCACAACTGCTGAGCCCACACTCCCTGCAGCCCATGTTCTGCAACCAGAGAAGCCACTGCAATGAGAAGAAGCTCATGTACCGCAGGTAGAGAATATCCCCTGCTTGCTGCCACTAAAGAAAGTTCTGCACACAGTATCAAAAAAAAAAAAAGTAGCAACCTTTTCTTTTAAAAAGCTTTTTTTTTTTTTTTTTTTTAAAGTTAAAGGTAATAGTGGTAAGTATTGTGCTGGGTATGCTATTGCAACTCCTTTTGATGTTGTTGAGGCAGCATCGTTACCTATGGCTACCTCAGGCCAATACATTCTTACATGGGGCTTGCACTTTAGCCAAGGACCAACTGTCAGTATCTGTGGTGATAGTAGATATGCTTTCAGAGTAGCCCATGATTCGGGGATATTGTGGAAGCAACGTGACTTCCTCACTTCCAGCAGAAATAAAATTTAAAATGGCCCCTAGGTCCAAGAATTACTGGATAAAACATCGTACCTGATGTTTTAGCTATTATTAAGATTCCGGGGCATCCTAAAATTGGCTTCTGGAAGCTAAGAGGAATCACCTTGCTGACATTTCTGCAAGGAATGTTGTCCTTAAAGGAACCAACAGCAGCCAAACCTCTGTCATGGTCCAAAGGAATATTTCCCCCAAAGGAAAACTTAGAAAAACTGGCTAGAGAAGCCCAATAATTGGCCTCAGAAAGGAAAAAATGAGATTGGAAATCCAACAACTGTTGGTTCAATAAAAAGGGAAAGCTCTGGTTCAATCCAAATAACAGCCCAATCCTACTAGAGACTCTAAAATTCCCACTCCTCGCCACTGTCCATTGCAGTAATCCATTGATTTACTGAAAAAAGAATCAGGCATCCGTATTGGTGGGGAAGCATTAACAAGGCTGCAAAAAGCACCGACCTCACTTGCCCTGCCTGTCTAAGGCACAGTCCAAGGAAGCCTGTTCATACTGCTCCTGGGCATTTTAAACTGCCTAATGGACCATTTGAGTTCTGGCAAAGCAGTCACATATGGAAGTGAGAGCTGGACCATAAAGAAGGTTGAGTGCCAAAGAACTAATGCCTTCAAATTGTGGTGCTGAAGAAGACTCTTGAGAGGTCCTTGGACAGCGAGGAGATCAAACTGATCAATGCTAAAGGAAACCAACCCTGAATGTCCATCGGAAGGCCTGATGCTGAAGCTGAAGCTCCAAAACGTTAGCCACCTGATTCAAAGAGCTGACTCACTGGAAAAGACCCTGACGCTGGGGAAGATTGAAGGCAAAAGGAGAACAGGGCGGCAAAAGGATGAGATGATTAGATAGCATCACTGACTCAGTGGACATGAATCTGAGTAAACTCCAGCAGATAGTGGAGGACAGGGAAGGCTGGCATGCTGCAGTCCATGGGGTTGCAAAATAGACATGTTTCCGACTCAGCAACTGAACAACAGCAACAGATGGCTTTCATACAGCTTTCTCTATTGAGTGGATATAAGTATGTTTTAATCATGGTCAGTTTTCACTTTGGACTGAAGCTTTCCCATGCAGACAGCCTACTACCTCTTGTGGCTAAAACTCTTTTGGAAAAAATTATCCTACATGAGGAATTCCTCTTGAATCATAGTGATCAAGGCACCCATTTTATGGGTCAGGTCCTTCAACAGGTCTCTACCAGGTTGGCTGGTTTTATGACACTTTTACTGGACTTGCATGCCTGTGTGTGCTCAGTCATGTCTGACTCTTTGCTATCCTTAGAACTGTAGCCTGCCAGGCTTCCCTGTCCATGCGGGTTTTTTTCCAGGCAAGAATACTGGAGTGGGTGGCCATTCCTCCTTCAGGGACTCTTTCTGACCCAGGGATCAAACGAGCGTCTCTTTCATTGTGGAAGGATTCTTTACCCGCTGAGCCATTGAAGCAGCCCTTTTACTGCAGTTACTGCCCTCAGTACTCTGGTTTACTTGAATGCACTAGTGGCTATTAAGACTCAACTGGTAACATTCATTGAGATTCTCTAAATGTCAAAAGCATTTTGGAACTCATGAACTATTACCCACAGAGATAGTCACAGGATGCCTGCCCAATGTACTTACCTTCTATCACCTTTTTACCCACTACTGATAAAAGGGGAGATACTCCAATATGGCAAAGGCCTAATTGTTTCCATTTAAAATTGCCATGTTTTGATAGAACAATTTTTTCACAGTGCATTTTCAAGAGATGAAGACTTTAAGCATCATACCATCAAACCTGGAAACTTTTTCTCTTGGAAAAGACACCTCCAGAAGGACTCTTTTCAACCTCACTAAAAAGGCCCCACTAAATATTTCTAACCAACTCTTGTGCCAAAAACCTCCAAGAAATAGATCCTTGGATTCACGTGACACACGTAAAGAAAGCAACTAACTGGACCTGCACGTCATCTGGAGACCTGAAAGTATTCCCTGGAATTGAAGCCAATGACACCTGAACAGACAACCTTCCTAAGATATTCAGACTAGGCCTTGATCTGCTCTTTTCTTGTTGTTGTTGGAGTTTAGATGCTTTACAGTGTTGTGTTGTTTCTGCTACACGGCAAAGCGAATCAGCTATATGTATACATATATCCCCTCTTTGTCACAACCTTAGCATAGAGTAGAGTTCCCTGGGCTATACAGTAGGTTCTTATTAGTTATCTGTTTTACACATAGTAGTGTATAGATGTCAATCTGAATCTCCTTGATATACTCTTGATAACATATGGACTTTGGATAAAAAAAAGGCCTGAGAATTCTCCCTCTTACCCTTCCTTGTTACTCAAGTGTAACCTCAATAGGTTTCCAACCTGTGTACTTACCCTCCAACATGGGGCACTCAACCCAGGAAAGGTCCTTCTTCACACTGAGGGACAAAAAGCTGCTGAAACTGGAAAAGCTGACTCTTGATCTGTGATACTTTCAAAGTTCAAAAGTGGAGAAATGTGAAAAACTAATGAACAGAAACCTCACTTAAATAGAGTTGGGCCACCAGAAAGAGGAGCTCTCCCTCTCTGTGACAATACAGCCCAAGAAGAAGAAGAAAAACTCCTCTTTATTTCTGGCCAGGACTCAGCCAATGAAAAGTCATAGACTCATTGTTTAGTGTAACCCTCCAGACTTTCTTTTGCCCTCTATAAAACAGTTCTCCTCCCCTGGCTGAGCAAGAACTTGCACATGGCCTGCCATGGTTGCAGACCCTGAATTTCAATTCTCTGTTCATCCCAAATAAACCCATCTTTGCTGGAGAAATAGCTGGCAGTCTATTTGTTTTAGGTCAACAGGACTCCAGTCAAAAGCCAGTGGCCTCAGAAGCCAGGCTACAAAAAGCCGTGCCGTGTGCTGTGACCTGCTCAGTCATG